GTTGAAGGCATTCTTGAACATACACTATTTAAAGGGTTTGTTATTGAACTATTGTATTTTTGTTTGTTCTTTATAGAATTAATTTTTAGAACATATTTTGCAACATGGGAAGGTTTATTTTGGGAAAAAGCATCTGGTTTTGAAGAATCAATGCGTTGGAAAAAATTAACAAATGCACAACGTTCAGGTTTAAATCAAATTCCAAATCGTCGTTTTACATTATGGTGGAGTCCAACAATAAATCGTGCTAATGTTTATGTTGGTTTTCAAGTTCAACTTGATTTAACTGGTATATTTATGCATGGAAAAATTCCAACATTAAAAATATCATTAATTCAAATATTTCGTGCACATTTATGGCAAAAAATTCATGAAAGTGTTGTTATGGATCTTTGGTAAAGAATTTTTGTTTAATTAAAAATAAAAATTCTATGTTTCTTTTTTTTTTTTTTTTGCTTTTAGTCAAGTATTTGATCAAGAATTAGATGCATTAGAAATTGAAACTGTACAAAAAGAAACAATTCATCCAAGAAAATCATATAAAATGAATTCATCATGTGCAGGTTAGATTATTCTCTTATTTATCTTGCGAACATTTTTGTTTTTTATCAATTGGACAGACATTTGACTTATGAGAGAGATTTCCCAAGTAATACATTGAACCAATAGGTTCTAGTTAATAAGCTAGAGTGGTTCGAGCCTATAGGTTTTTGTTATAGAGCTATCGAACTTTTACTGTACAGCAGTGATACAACGAGAGAAAGTATTGGAAGATCAATCCTTTCACAACCGAAAATGGATCTTTTTCCTGTGATGCTCTCTCGTTCCAAAGAATTTTTGGTCACCGAGCGCTTCTGTAGGATCACAGTTTTCATGCGAAATTACACTTTTGAATTTTGATTTCAATAAAGTCTTATTAAATTACTTTCCCATTGTATTTCTGATTGGAATAAATGAGAGAATGATGAAGAAATGTATCTCGAAATAGATAAAATAAAACAAACTTGTATTCACAATTACATCATGTTTTACATTTAGATATTCTTCTATTTGCTGCATATAAATGGAATATAAGTAAACCATCATTATTAGCTGATTCAAAAGATGTTATGGATAATACAACATCACAAAAATATTGGCTTGATATACAATTACGTTGGGGTGATTATGATTCACATGATGTTGAACGTTATGCTCGTGCTAAATTTCTTGATTATACAACAGATAATATGTCAATATATCCATCACCAACAGGTGTTATGATAGCTATTGATTTAGCATATAATTTACATAGTGCATTTGGTAATTGGTTTCCTGGTTGTAAACCATTAATACAACAAGCTATGGCAAAAATAATGAAAGCAAATCCAGCTTTATATGTTTTACGTGAACGTATACGTAAAGGTTTACAATTATATTCATCTGAACCAACAGAACCATATTTATCATCACAAAATTATGGTGAATTATTTTCAAATCAAATTATTTGGTTTGTTGATGATACAAATGTTTATCGTGTTACAATACATAAAACTTATGAAGGAAATTTAACAACAAAACCAATTAATGGTGCCATATTTATTTTTAATCCACGTACAGGACAATTATTTTTGAAAATTATTCATACATCTGTTTGGGCTGGACAAAAACGTTTAGGACAATTAGCTAAATGGAAAACAGCTGAAGAAGTTGCAGCTTTAATTCGTTCATTACCTGTTGAAGAACAACCAAAACAAATTATTGTTACCCGTAAGGGTATGTTAGATCCATTGGAAGTTCATTTACTTGGTAAGTTTATTTGTTTTATTAAATAACAATTTCATAATCTTTCTGAAGACATAATGAGAGACACAAGTCATATAGTTAGGTTGTACCAGAGATGTAGGTTTCATATAATTAATTTGATTATGATTTATAGAATGAGATAAGATTGTATCATTTGTAGAGGAAATAAAAATTTAAACAGAAAAAACTACGATAATTTTATGACAATATACCAGGTACAAAAAGGGTTTAAGAATACACTTTCGAACATCATCGATATGACTAATGAACTACTAGCTTAATCTGACTGGACCTAGGAGAAGCTTAGACTCCGTCGTCTACAAACGTTGAGTTCCGATCCAAAGGGACATGAGTTCCTTGTAGTATTATTAACAGCATGTTTCTGTCCTTCGCCAACTTTTTTTTTTGGTCACACCACTATTAAGGAGGCCAATACCAGAACTGATACTTACCGGTTGAATTCATATTAGATTCATAAAGAGGCCATGGTAAGGCTGAAAAAAACCTGGCGAGGTTTAGATACACTAGCCTTTGAAGTCGATTTATGATCATTTTAGTGAATTTTCGTCTATAAACAAGTCGAATAACTAGTAGAATATCTTGAAAATTACAGTCGAAATGAATGTACCTTTATCAAGATATTGGATTTCCAAAAAAAAAAATAGTTGTCTTGCCACACAAATAGACTTCATTTGAAAACTGAATACCTCGACAAAGGAATATTCTTTTCTTTTCGACTGAAACTTTCATGATTCGAAAAAAATCAACATTATTCAGAAATACTTGAACCCAAATTTAAGCGAATCTTAGGATTCTTCCATGATTGCTCCTATTTCTCAAGAAATAATGCAACAAATACTCAACCTAGCCTAAACTTGTTGTATAATTTCCAATCCTAGGATTCAAATTCGTAGCATATCTGACTACTACTATGAAACAAATAAAACAAAAAACATCTATGTTAATAATTGATTTTTATTTATTTTTCATAGATTTTCCAAATATTGTTATCAAAGGTAGTGAATTACAATTACCATTTCAAGCTTGTCTTAAAGTTGAAAAATTTGGTGATTTAATATTAAAAGCAACTGAACCACAAATGGTTATGTTTAATTTATATGATGATTGGTTAAAATCAATATCATCATATACAGCATTTTCACGTTTAATTCTTATACTTAAAGCATTACATGTTAATAATGATCGTGCTAAAATGATATTAAAACCTGATAAAACAACAATAACAGAAGTTCATCATATATGGCCAACATTAACTAATGATGAATGGATTAAAGTTGAAGTTTCATTAAAAGATTTAATATTAGCTGATTATGGTAAAAAAAATAATGTTAATGTTGCATCATTAACACAAAGTGAAATACGTGATATTATATTGGGTATGGAAATAAGTGCACCAAGTGCACAACGACAACAAATAGCTGAAATAGAAAAACAAGCTAAAGATTCATCACAATTAACAGCAACAACAACTGAAACAGTTAATAAACATGGTGATAAAATAATAACAACAACAACAAGTAGTTATGAAACACAAACATTTGCATCAAAAACTGAATGGCGTATACGTGCTATATCAGCAACAAATTTACATTTACGAACAAATCATATTTATGTTTCATCAGATGATATTAAAGAAACAGGTTATCGTTATATATTACCAAAAAATATTTTAAAAAAATTTATTATTATTTCCGATCTTCGTACACAAGTAAGATTTAATTTGAATATTTTATATTTAAAGAAAATTTCATTCTTATTTTTTTCTTTTTTAGATTGCTGGTTATTTATATGGTGTTAGTCCACCAGATAATCCACAAATAAAAGAAATTCGTTGTGTTGTATTACCACCACAATGGGGTACACATCAAACTATTCATTTACCAAATATATTACCACAACATGAATATCTTAAAGTAAGAAAATGAAAATATCTTTGAGAAAAATAAAATAGTTATATTATTCATAGAATTCGAAATCGGATAAAAATCTAGAGATGTATCTTATCGATTGATTCGATCTCTATGAAGTTTGAGTGATGTAAAAAGTAATCGAATTAAATTATCTACAGAGATCAAAGACGTAGATGAAAACTGATATAGCGATTGTTTTTTTTTTACTTCCTAATTGAATTGCAACAAAAAAAAAGTACTCTAAGTTAATAATACATGTTTTGTAGTTATGATAATTTTACTGAATTTCAGACTTTGTATATAAGATAGAGTTCGAATTCAAAAGCAATTTATCAATTGAAAATCTTCCTTCGTTAGAAGATTTTTCTATCATCTCGAAAGATTTCATAATATATATTTACTTAAATTAGGAAATGGAACCACTTGGATGGATTCATACACAACCAAATGAATTACCACAATTATCACCACAAGATATAACAACACATGCTAAAATAATGAATGATCATACATCATGGGATGGTGAAAAAACAATTGTTATAACATGTTCATTTACACCTGGTTCAGTTTCATTAACAGCTTATAAATTAACACCAAGTGGTTATGAATGGGGTCGATCAAATACTGATCGTGGAAATAATCCAAAAGGTTTGTTCTTTAATTAAGTTTATTATTTAAAAGAAAAACAATTTGTTTTATTATTATTTTTTTTTTAAGGATATGCACCATCACATTATGAAAAAGTTCAAATGTTATTATCTGATCGTTTCTTAGGATTTTTTATGGTACCAGGACAAGGTTCATGGAATTATAATTTCATGGTAAGTTTTTGTTTTTTTCTTATTGAATAAATTCTTTTAATTTTTAATTAAATTATTATTTTAAGGGCGTTCGTCATGATGCTAATATGAAATTTGATTTAGTTTTATCAAATCCAAAAGAATTCTATCATGAAATTCATCGTCCATCACATTTTCTTAATTTTTCAAATGAAGAAAATCCAGACACATATTCAGCTGACCGTGAAGATCGATTTAGTTAAAACATCAATCCGGTTATAACATTGTATAATCAGGCTTCTTCTTTTTGTTCGTTTTTTTTTTGTTGTCTTTAGCTGTTGTTCTTTTCTTTGTGAGATAATAAATTGTCATGAAACACATAAAATGAGTGTGTGATGATCAAGAATGATTTAAAAGAGTTTCTTTTTCTTCTTCTTCTTCTATTGTAGATTTAATCTATTTGAGTTATTATTTTGAGTGAGACAAAAAACGAAAGTAATAGACGATGAGTGAACAAATGGATGCAAGTAATAATGATGCGTCTAATGTTAGTCAAAGTTCAGAGACAACTACAAATACAAAATTTAAATTAACTATTAAAACACCAAAAGAAAAAAAAGATATATCAATTGATGCCACTTCAACTATTAAACAAGTATTTTTTTAAATAAAGAATATTTAAAAATAAAAAACATTTTTTTTTTTTTTTGTGTTTTTATTAGTTGAAAGATTTAGTGGCTAATGAATTTAATACATCAATTGATCAAATTTGTCTTATCTATTCGGGTAAAATTCTAAAAGATGATGAAGATATTAAAAAACATGGTATAACAATTGAAATTTAATATGCTCTTTTTTGTATTTATGGTTTTTGCTTAATTAATAGATATAAAAGATGGTGTTACTGTTCATTTGGTTATTCGAGCACCAAAACAGGATACAACAACAAATGACTCTACCAGTCCAACATTTTCTAGAGTTCAACGCGAAGTAAATATATACGATATCAAAAGTGTACTCAAAAAGAAACATAAATAATTGAAATATTTTCACACTTATAAATCTTTTAAAAGAACACATCGTCTTTCAGGAAGATCGACCAAAAACATTAGACTGAGTGATTAAGGAGAAAACATTTTTAGCTGATCAATCACTAGCTCAAGAAAAATTACTGAAGTATGAGTTGTCGATTATGCAAATTCCGAATATGATTATAAAAGATTCTATTAAGTTTTTATGCACTAATTTTCCAGACTGAGAAATATTTTACGAAAATATTTCTGAATCGAATCATGAACAAGAAACTGCCGATATTTTGTAGGATTGGAAGTTAAATACTCCATAGAATATTTGAAGATTCTCGCAGAGAATGTTTTCATTCTCCAAAAAGCTAGAGATGCTGAAGGAGAAGAAGAGCCCATCTGGTTGGCTTCAGGCCAGATTGGGTCGGACTCGGAGTTCGAATCTCAAAACTTTGGACTCGGAGAACTTTACCGAGGAGGATTGACAAAAAATTGGACATTTTAAGGACAGCTCCCATCCAATTAACGACTCTGTTTGCAAAGGAACTTTTTCAGGTGTCAAATCATTTTTCGATTGAGACAATGTTCATTTGATGAGCGCTAGAGAGTAATAGAATAGTCTAATTTTCCAGATCTGCATTCTCGATATATCGAATTTTTATCGAGTTTTTTGAACACAAATTTGTGGTCTCTTTTAAAAAGCAACTTTCAATTTCAAACTTTGCGCGAACAGAGTTCTTAGTGGGATTAGTTAATTGAGCAAGTTTTAGTTTTTCTAGCATTTCCTTTCTGGAGATGTAATTATTTGAATTAAATTTGTTTTTTACACATGAGAACAATTCAAATATTGAATATCTCAGAATAAGATATACTGAAAAGTTACAACTTGTCTAATAAATTGATCTTATTTCGAACATTGTTCATGCTGAATTTGAACTCAAAACTAGAAAGTCGATTTTCCACATGGTTTGAGGAAGATAAAAGCTTTTTAACTGAAAAACTCAGCAGATTTTCGATATCTCAATAATGAAGATTCGAAAAAGCAAACCATTGTATAATTTTTTAACTACTTATTTGTAATTATCAAATAAACATCGTCTCAGTCGAAAAACTATTTGATATTTGGAGGAATTTCATCGCCAGATTATAGCACATACTGATTTATTTGAGTTAACAATCTTTTCTGTTTTTCAAAAATAAATTTCAAAAAAAAAAAAAAAAACATGATTTGCAACAAAAACTACTGTTTGAAGACAATAAACCTAAAGATATTTCTCGTGGTCATATTTGAAATCAGCATAGTTAATAGCCTTCAATCTACTAGTTTTTATTGAGAAATCGGTTCATCAGTTGAAAATATTCTCTTCAGTAAGTTTTTCTCGAAAATTTCAAAACTTTAAGCACCTCAAATATCAGACATTGTTTGACTTCTATTTTGAACTCAACTTGATCTTCAATAGAAGTTTTATAGACATTTATTTAAAGACGTAATGTAGTCGTGAAGGCCAAGAGTCTCTACATGAACAATATTCAAAAGCAGAAAGAGTATTGTATGAATGAATTTCAGAGTCAGAAGACATCGTATCCTTGCATTTATTCGAAAATTTAAGAGAATATTAAATTATGTAAATGATTTGACTCATTTCAAAGTTTATCGATATTGGAAATTTTACTTGAAAAAAAAAATTATAAATATTTTTTTAGGCTCCTACTCGTCCAACTCCAACTCCAACTCAACAACCTAATCCAACTGGTACTTTTCCATTTGGTCTTGGTGGTATGCCTGGTATGGATAATTTAAATTTTACTGATATGCAACAACAACTTCAGCAACAAGTAATTAGTAACAAAAATTTTAAATAAATAAATATTTATTTTTTTCATATTAATTAGATAATGAGCAATCCAGCACAACTTCGTCAATTAATGGATAGTCCTGTTGTGCAAAGTATAACAAGCAATCCTGATTTATTACGTTCATTATTACTTAGTAATCCACAAATTCGTGATTTAATGGAGGTAAAATAAATTTTAAATTAAAAAAACAAAAAAAATTTTGTAAAAGACGATATCAATGAAATTTTTCTTTCGTAGCGTAACCCTGAAATATCACATTTACTGAATAATCCTGATTTACTTCGACAAACAATGGAATTTGCTCGGAATCCAACAGCATTACAAGAACTTATGCGTAATCATGATCGAGCTTTAAGTAATCTTGAAGTAAGTTTTACAAGCTAGGCCTCGAAATGCGCTACCATAGCCAAACTTAGTTTTTTTTTCAAAGAAGATTAGATATACTTTTTTTTCCAGATTTTTGTAATCAGTGATTAGTGTATCTTACATATTTCTCAGGCAACTAGAGCCCGTCGGACTCGGGTTCAGGACCAACTTTAAAAGTTCCAATCCGTGAACACACTTGGCTCTGTGATAATAAACTTTTTACAATACTTTAGAGAATGACTACGGTAATTGTGAAGTTCCATCATGTAGAAACCTTTTTTCTTTGGAAACGAAGTATACTTTTAGTAATCGCTTTCTTAGATGGGTTGTGCCATCAAAAAATGATCTGATTTTGAGACGTGTTATAAGCTTTTGATAATTTTTTTTCTGATAGAGTATTCCTGGTGGTTTCAATGCTTTACAACGTATTTATCATGATGTACAAGAACCAATGTACTCAGCAGCACAGGAACAATTTGGTAATAATCCATTTGCACAATTATTTACTGGCAATGGTAATATTGAATATTTTTTTGTTTCTTCTTTTCTTATCTTGATGTTTTTTTTTTTCATTTCCTATAGAAAATACAACAACGTCACGTACTGAAAATACTGATCCATTACCAAATCCTTGGGCACCTCGTAATACTTCTGCAGCTGCTACACCTTCTCGTCAAACACAACAACCATCTACTAGTACAACAAATACTCAGCAACAGCAACAACAACAACAGCAATCAACAGCTTCAGCATTACCAACTAATGCTACTGGTAGTTCACCTAATTTAGTTTCTCCCATGATGCAAAATTATATGTCACAATTAACTCAAAATCCTCGTTTACTTGAAAATGTTCTTAATGCACCTTATATGCAACCATTAATGGATTCGCTTGCTGCTAATCCAGATATATCAAGACAAATGGTTACCAATAATCCAATGTTTGCAAATAATCCTGAATTACGTGAACAAATGCTTAATGCTTTACCAACTATGATGGAACAAATGAGAAATCCTGAAGTACAAGCATTAATGCAAAATCGTGAAGCACTTGAAGCTATACAACAAGTACAAGAAGGTTAATATATAAGATTTTATGTTAAAATAATTAATTATTTTTTATTTCTATTTAGGACTTCAACGTTTACATGCAGCAGCACCTAATCTATTTCAAGCGTTAGTTTATTGTTTAAAATATTTTTTTCATGATTATCAAAACAAAAGTACAAACAACACAATAACTATTGATTTATTTTTAGTGGTGGTTTACCAGCTGCTCTTCGTTTTGGTCCAACTGGTCTATCGTCACCAGCTAATACAGGAACCACATCATCATCCACTGGTCAACCGACATCATCGACTTCAACATCAAGAACAAATACTGGTAATACACCATCATCAAATGACCCAAATAATTATGCAGGTGTATTTGCTCAAATGTTGAATATGATGTCAAATCAAAATATTGTATGTTTTATTCGAAGGACTCTCTCGGATTTAGTGACCTCTCTTGAATTCAGATGTCATATATATAACCTTAGAGAGCAATATGTAGCACATCGAATAGTATACAAGAAATCAAGTTTTTCTCAAATTTTGATATGCTGAAGGTTCATACACTGGTTGTAAACCGTGAGAAACATATACCATACTCATAGACATGGTGATCTTTAAGATATTCTAAGATAAAGTTATGCAAATATTGTTCTTTTTTGGGCTCAATTTGATGCAGTTATTGGTACTCTTCATCTTTTTTAATAATCAGAAGTTTTTCGCCTTGCTTTCCTCATAGTTCAAATTAATCACTTTTCTTAAATCTAAATTACTTTTTGTCTGTATGATATGCCATTACGCTCCGTTCTGCGTCGCAAAACAAGTGAGTACCAGTGTGAAACTTTCTAAAAAACAAATTACACACTATTGAGATCTACATGTTTTACAGATAATATCTTTCTGGACAGTAGGAACTTATTGTCAACTTGCAAGAGTGTTACCTAGAATCTCCTATGTTCCTGTATGTAAGATTCGGAATATTGACGATATTTTAATAATATTTAACGACCTAATTAAAATTTTATATGTACGAATAATTAACACAGCATCTCTATTGAACTGATATAAATAACTTCTTTATAATCGGCTAAAAAATGTTTGACCTCGGAATTCCTCGAGAAAGATATGAGAATATGGTCACAAAAAGTAGTTCCGTTGTTTTTATTCTTTCTCCTTCAAATCTTTATTTCAAGCATTCAGTTTTGATTTATGCATGAAACTTTACAAGAATCTATCAACATTTCAGAAATAAGCACCTTCCACATTCTTTCACACCCTCGAGGAGTTCAGAGGTAAAAAAAAATTGTTTAACCGATTATAAAGGAATTGTTTATATCAATTTATTAAATATGCTGTTATGATTCTTTATACTTAAAGATTTTTAATAGAGTCATTAAGTATTATCAAAATAGTATTGTCAACATACCGATCCCTTCATAAAGGAGAATAGGCGATTTTGGTTGACACTTTTATAAGTTGACAATAAGTTCTTGCTGTTCAGAAAGATGTTATATGTGAAACATGTAGAACTCAATAGTGTGTAATTTTTTAGAAAATTTCATCTTGTTACCCATTGCTCTGTAGCACAGAATGGAGTACATTAGAATATCATATAGTCAAGAAATAATCTAGATCCAAGAAAAGAGACCATTTTTAACTATGAAGAAAGCAACGATGAAATCTATTGATTATATAAAAACGAAGAGCACATATAACTGCAGATAAAAAAAAGATTTTCATAAGTTTATCTTATGAATTACAATATTTATGATTACCGTATATATTTCTCAAAAATTATAGCCAGTATATTGACCAACAATCCATTACAATTTTTATGAAATTCAATTTCTTATACACCATGCGATGTATCAAAAGTTAGTTCATAATAGGCCACTAAATTCGACAGAGTCCTAGATTTTTTATTTTTTCTAACTATTTTTTTTTTAACATATAGAATACACCACCTGATGAACGTTATGCTGTTCAATTAGAACAACTTGTTTCAATGGGTTTTACTAATCGTGAAGCAAATTTACAAGGTAATCTAATTTGTTTTTGTTTTTAATTAAGTTTCTTTAAAATAAAAATTTCTTTTTTAGCTTTAACAGCAACAATGGGAGACGTAAATGCGGCAGTTGAACGACTTCTTTCTCAACATTAACTTTTGTTTTTCTTTGCAATACATTAATTCTCCTATTCATGTTAATACCAATTTTTTTCTTTTCTTGGTTTTTTTTTTTTTTGCTCGATTTATCTAATTTTCATCGGTTAAAAAACGAGCACATTTATCTCATTTACTTTTTCTTCTATTCATAATTATTTTGTCTATGTATATGTGTTTGAAAGAAGAAAAAAGAAATCAAATCAATAATATACAAACGTAATGGATACTATTCCTGTATGTATGTATGCATATTTTGCAAAAAAAAAAAAAAAAGAAGACAAAGTTTTCTGTGGTTGTCTTCATCTAAGTGATGATCATTTTTGTATAAACAACAAGCAAGAATATTTTCAATTCGAAACGATGATTAATAATCAATGGTATTCAATGTTTGTTTGTGTTTTTCAAGTAGAATATGTATTCATCGATCAACTATTTTGTTCATAGATGTCAGATTATTTAATGAATATAAGTGCAATTATTGATGAATCTAGGGTTATATAACTACTTTTTTTTTAATAGTAGTTTAGCCATTTTGAAAGATTTGAATACTTATTAATGACTTGAACATTGAGATACATTCGAAGGCTACTAAAAAAAAAAAGCTCATATTGTCACGTTCAAGTGTACTTGCAACTTAATACTTCACTCGTGTTCATATAATTAAACATATAAGGTTATATATCATTTTTTTTCCGAATCACAAACAACGTCAAGTATATTGTTTCTATAATGTTCACTGATTTATTTTGTAGTAGAAAAAAATAATAAGAAAATTCAATATTCTCAGATGTACGTCATTTACATATTATCATATGAAAAGAATAGAGGCAATATTACTCATAGAATTGGTGTGACTTTTATTATACACATATGATGAACATTTTAGCCAAAAGGCTTCATCAATAATGAATTAAATCTAGTGTTAAATATTAGGTTTGATTCTTGTAATAAGAAGAACTCTTATAATGTTCATTACACATTTATATATGTTCGTTACAGTCATCTATTTTTGAAAAGAAAAATGTGAAAAGAAAGTGCTTTTTAATTGAGTAATAGCAAGTTAAGTGTGTAACAGAAATCGAGTAATATATCAAATAAAGCGGCATGTTTTATTCAAAGAATAAGTAAGAATTTAAAATAATAATTAGAAACACTTTTGTTTTTTTTGTTTTTTTCGATTCTCAAGTGATCAATTATGAACACATCATAAACAATCAGTTTCACACAATTATTGAAAGTAACTCTATAAAAATAGAACTAAGAGATTGATTTTCATTGAAGTGTTCTATTACTAGTATTCATACTTCAATTACATATGTATTTGTTAATCTTACTATTTGTTTGTATATGTACATTTATTGAAATGCTCTTCTGTCAATGAAATAACAAGAAAATAAGCTGTTCTTTCGAATTCATTAATCGCCTGTCATCATTCACTAATCTAACATCAATCATTCACACTCTATTGATCTCTAATTCATTCATTATTTATGATATTCTAGTTTCTTTTTTTTGCTTCTAAATACATATATGTATATGTATATATGACTATTCGGATTCCATAATGCCAAGATATATTCATCTTTGTTTAAGATTATTATGTGTTGTGTATTTGATTTTTTTGTTTTCTTTTCAAGAAAGCGATCTACAGTGTGATATCGGTATGTCATTCAATTCAATAGTTCACTTAAAAGAGAAAGAGAGAGAAAACGTTCACAACATCGATTACCTTTAGGAAAAGAGAGATGCAGGTGATTTTTTTTCACAAACAACTTACCAACTGTTCACTATCTTTTCTCTCTATAATTGTCGTTCACAAACGAACGCAGACACATATACTTCATTAAATAAAATGCTTGTTGACAGCTGCTGAATAATTTCTCTTTTGTAGATCTGTACATTAACGATGACTAAAATTTTTTCGAAGTAAGTCATTTTTTTCTGCTTATTTATTAATTATAACAAATCTTTTGTTACACTTAATCATATTGTTTTCATAAAACCATTTCGATTCGCTCGTATTCTTAATAGATAAAATCTAATATCTAACCATTCCTCATCTAATAGAAAAAAAAAAAAAGAAAATCAGAAAAGATAATATTACATACGTGAAAAAGAGAAGCATAAAAAGATTGGTTAATACAATTTATTGGTGGGTGGATGATAGCATAACTATTTTATCCATTGCATTGCGTAGACAAATAGTCTTCTACATTCTTTCTGATATCTATGTGTGCGTGTGTTTATTCAGCATACTATATATATATTCGAAATCATCAAAAGAATCTTTTCTCCTATTATGATATATTTAGACTTTGACAGCAAGATGTTTTTATAAAAATGATGAGCACCAGTAATCGAATTAAGTAAGTGTTAGTTTAAACAAAACAAAAACAATGAGTTTCTTTTTTTATCATTGACATTGTGCTTTCAAATCACCACATGTGATGGGCTATTGCCATGTATAGATCATTTCTTATTAAGCTCGAAACAAACAACATGTTTTATTTGCTCATCGAATTAACTTCTGTGTGTGTGTGTGTGTGTTTGTATGATGTAACTTCTCTTTTTTTTTTATATTGATGATTGTTACTTTATCTATTTTGTCCTCGATGATCATCACTAACATGATTTATTTGTATCGATGTTTTTTTTGTTTTGTTTTTTAGTATGTTGTCTAGTTGGCCATCATCATTACAATTTGTTAAAGATTTTGATCGTACAAATTATTCAATTAAATCAGAAGAATCAACATCAACTGATGAGTTAGATGATGATCAAAACAATGATGGTGAAGGTGTTTGGAGTCCTGATATTGAACAAAGTTTTCATGTATTATTTTACTGTTTTTTTCTATATAATTTATTTATTTTCTAAACATAAATTAATATAGGAAGCATTAGCTATTTATCCTCCATGTGGTCGAAGAAAAATAATTCTATCCGATGAAGGTAAAATGTTCGGTAGAAATGAACTTATTTCACGTTATATTAAAATGCGTACGGGTAAATTACGTACACGTAAACAAGTCTCATCACATATTCAAGTTCTTGCTAAACGAAAATCAAAAGAACTTCAAACATTATTTAAAGTAATTTTCAAAAAAAAAAGGAAAAATAAAATATTTTTCTTACAAATAAAAAAAAACTTAATTCATTTAGGATTCAACTTTTAAAGAACCTCATCGTCCATTTGTTTTTAATCAACATTATCATCAATTACATAATTCAACAACACCATCAACAATTATTACTGATAGTACTTCATCTTATTATACACATCAACAACATACACCAGTATCATTTTTTTCATCAACACCTACATTATCATTTAAAGCAACAACACCAATCATTTGGCAACAACCAAATTCAGAGTAAGTTTAATTTTGATTATATTTATTGTTTAAAAAAAAAATTTCTTTTTTCTCTTGATTAGAATAAAATCATTTTCACCATCGTCAATAACAACAGATTTTATTTCAATGCCAAATATCACAACAAATTTTATAAATACAAATAGTTTAAAACTTACTGAATTTGCTGGATATATTCAATCAAAATCTGATATTAATTTAGTAATAAATTTAATCAAATGATTAATTATTTAAATAACAAAAATATTTTCTTTATAGAGACATTATCTAGTTCATATCAGTCAAGAAGCTGGTACTGATATGAAATCTGAAGTAAGTTAATCGAATTTGTTATACAGTCCTGGACACAAGTAGCTGCTTCCAATCAACTTTTTCTATTCTTTATAATATTGAGTTGATATTTCTAGTGCATATTTGCTATGATAAACTCGCTCTCTCTTAGTTCACATATAATGGAATGATCAATCCAATAATCTTTCTTCTATGAAAACTATATTTAAGGAAAATATGCTCTTCGAAAACATGTTTTATTTCTCAGTTGCAGTTTCACAAACTACTACTGTTTTTTTTCTAGCGCTGAAGAATTGCTTTTGAGTCGAGACTGTGTGCATTATGTATACTCAAATAAGCTATAAATATTCTGAGAAGAATTCGTGACCTTAGTTTATTTCTATGAAGACACTAAATTTTTATAGTATTTTTAAATGAGTATCATGATTCAACACAAACATTATAAAAAAACTGATTTTCGAACATCAAATATGCCGGTTTATACAAGCGATGTAAAGAACATGCTATTATCATAGTTGTATCGTCGATTAGGAACAATGAAAAGATTTGAAACTTTCATAAGAACCTAAGGATAGAAACTCTTTTCAGGCTATTCATAGCTCATCCGAGTCTACATAATGTATTTAGTTTTGATGCAAAAGACGAAAATTTAAAAAAATTTTTTTTTTGAGAAATTTTTATTATTGAATTGTTCAGATGGAAGACAACAAATATTTCACTACTTAAACAAAGCAAGAGTATACATGTATACGAACGTCTTTAATCTTGAGAATGAAAGATTTGTCAAGATACATTTAGAGAGTTTTTATATCTATTTAATGATTTAGTAGTTTCAAGTCTAGTTTTTTTGAAACCGTCGAACTCAAGTTGATGCAATCATCTCGGTAGTTATTTCAAAGTGATGTCTAACACTGTTGTTAGACTATAAATAGCTACGACAATAGCCTGTCGAACTAGGGGCCGAAAGAATCGTTTAGATAAATTGTTTATGAATGAATCCATAACTCAGTACATGTGAACTAATGGGTCTAGTAGCACTTCATGGGAGGGCAATTATTTTTGTCCAGAACTGTATATATTTGTATAATTTATCAATTATTGTCTTTTTATTTTTGTAAAGTATATCAAAATGAGCCAAATTATTGACTTATTTCCTATGTTAAAAGAACTTTATAATAAAGGATCGAAAGATGCATTTTATGTTGTTAAAGTTTGGGTAGGACTAAGATTTATTTATATTCAATTATTTAAAGTATACTTTGGTCATAGGTCAATATGGACTATCAAGAAAATTCAACTGATACACATCATTATTTTTCTGTGTAAAAATTAGATTTGAATTTTTTTTCTATTTAAAAATATTTACTTTATTTTTAGTTTTGAAAGTTTCGAAGATAATATGAATTTATGTATAACAACAAAAGCATGTTCATTTGGTAAAACAATTGTAGAAAAAATTGAAGTAAAATAATTATAAAGAAAAAAAAAGTTTTGAAAATTATATTTGAAAAATATTTTCTAGAATGGTACAACAAAATATAATGATACTATTAATAAATATATTCATCGTTCAATTGATACAACAATGTGTAATTTTATGATTGATTTTATAAAAAAACTTAAAACAGGATTATTAATACGTGACATGATGAATGTTGTACTTGAACATTTAGGAGTACTTCAAGTAAGTTAACTTTGATTTTTTTTCTTTAGTTTTAATTTATATTTTATTATTTAGACAGTAGTATCGAAAGATACAGATGAATTATTATTATGTATTGCATATATATTTGAAATAAGTGAATCATTAAGTGGTACACAATCGACTGCTTATCGTTTATGCGAATAATGTTGAACAATTTATTATTCATATTTCTTATTTTGTTTTGTTTTGTTTTTCTTTGATCACGAAATCTTTTTTTTTCCTATCATTCTTGATTTACTTTATCCTTGTATGATTACTGTTGCTCTTTCATTTTTCTCTAATAAATTATTTTTCAAGATATTAGATTTAATCTAGCAAATATCATTTATTGACTTGTATTGAAAAGAAACAAAATTCATTTGTCATTTTTTTTTTTGTCACTGAGTACATGAAGAGCCTACGGTGATGGTGATCAGTGTATTAGTGCTGATAGCTTCTTTAACATAAAGGCATCTAAGTGATAGAAAAAGAATAGGTCATCGCCAAAGGGCTCTGACACGTTGACTAACTTTAACGGTTATACAGTATGTGAAAGTATATCTTTAAATCAAATTGAGAAAATATATGATTGATTATAGGAAAAGACAAGAATAGGCATGTTAATTGCTTTATAGACTAAAAGATCATTGAAGATAGAATCAACGAATGTGCCAACGATAAAACAATTAAGATTTGTTTGTCATGATAACATATAACATTATTTGTGAATGGCAAAGATTGATTGAGCGTGTCATCAATGTTGTTAAGTATTGTCTAAATCATCAGTTATGATAGTATTTGAAAAAGAGTAGATCAAAATTTATATTGACCTTTATTCTATGTAGTTTAATTGTTAATAGAATTTTCGATTGGCCAATTAACTTCTCTGGTTGTACTAGAAGATCTTTTATAGAAGACGAGATGAAATTAATCATGAGAAATTCGAGTTTTTTAACATATGCTTTATCAAGTTTGTTCTAAGTTTATTGTTATGAAGAGCAAGCGAAAAAAAAAATTTAAATAATATCGAAGGCTAAGTGGTTGAACACTCTTGAACATCTCAATGCTAGATATGAATATTTGTCATCTTTTCACGTAACTTTAACGATCAAGTTAGATTCAACTGTCAATCTTTATCAAATATAACATTGACTATAACAAATAAAATTTAGTATATCGATAAGAAATACTAATTTCAAATGAACACCTTTGTGTTGTGAAATTTTCGATATATGATATATGCAGAAAATCAACTGGCTCTCTTGTACATTAATTAGAAAAGTCTGCCACACCTTGAGATTTTTGGCGAGATTCGATAATTTGAGTTTTATGTCACAACAAATATTGAGGAGTAGTACCACATATAGATTCCTTAATAAAATTGATACTAATTGAATGCTATTATGTAATCGTCTTCTAAAACCTAAAACGGCAACATGTATCAAAAATGAAGTGACGAAATGTCTCAATTTTGAGGATTTCATTTTTATTCAGATTTGATGATGTTATTTTGTCACGAAAAATATGTTAAGCTCTACATCAAAATGTAATGTGTAACAATGTTTAATTGGATCTATTCTAGTCGCTATAATAAAAGTAACAGATAGACCAAAAAGGAAGATAAGTTTTCTTCAGCGAGTCATATTTTTGAAATTTTTCAATACGATGAAGCTCATTCAAGCAATAGCCTCCTTTATTAAAATATAGAGATTTATTTGTTCTATTCAATATTCAATTTGGTTTTGAAAGTGAAACTAAACCGTTGATCAGATTATAATCGCTTGTTTTATCTAACTCGTTCCTTATGTTAAGATTGTTTTAAACAACATTTTTAAAGAGCGTCTTAGTTTGCAATCATATGGTGTATTGAATATCAGTGAATAAACAAGATGAATTCATCGTTTTCCTCTCTATATGTTTTTATCATGGTATACTCATGACCATATCATGTATTTTTAAAAACTTAAGTCTTTGATATAGTTCTTTTGCTGCGATCTCTAAAGCATCATAGAAGATTTGAGATCTTATAATATGAAGGTGACATGACAAGCGTATTCTAAAATATCGAAAAAAAACAACTGAACAGAGAAATGGTGACAGAAAACTGAATTCGTTTTATTTCAATGAAGTAAGAAAATTGTTTTTGAGCGTTTTTAATGAAATAAGAACAGAATAGAATCAATAAGCGATTGAATATAAACTAAACTTATCCTAACCTGTTTTATATATGACTGTTCTATCCTTTCTTTGCATATACTCGACAAGTTTCAAACAGAAAACTCCAAAGTAAAGGAAAAAATAATTTTACGATCGCTATCGACCCCTAACGATAGCATCTTTTTTTATTCCTCAACTTCTCACTGGTTAGAAGTAGTCTAGATCAAATCCAAACACACAGCCAACTGTTAACTATGCGTAAGGAAAAATCCTTAGCCTGCTATGTAAGAAAAAGATAAGGTTTGTTATTGACTTTTTTCTTTGTCCTCGTAATAAACTTGTTCATGAATGTTTGACTAGTGACGAAAACTAGAGCAAAAGTTGGAAAAAAAATATGATAAGATTGTTCCCATTCGTTAATTTTTCTAAGTATTATAAAAGGTACAGCAAGACAAACTTAAAAAATAAACAAAAATACATGGGACATTGTTGACATACTGCAGAATGAAATTTATATTCGAATTTGTGGTTAATAATTATCAACAAAAACGATATCTACTGCAATAGTATACATATGAATAGAGGGTGACATGCGTAAATTTCATCTGATTTAGTCAGAACTTAGTGTGAATAAATATTTGTCTTGTTAACAAAAAAAAAAGAGAAAATTATGTTCTATTATTCGCATTGATAATTTATCTGTTCTTTGACAGTAAAAAAACAATAATACGAGACAATAAATTATTATTCAATCGCAAAACTTATGTGATTTCATCCATTCTTAACCAAAAGCTCTTTATTGTTAGATTAAACCAGACATGACTACCTTTAGCATTACCATTTGTTATTTACTAGGTTCCATACAAACCTCAAAAAATAAAATAAATATAAAACACAAAGTTTTGCTAGCTTTTCATGTATTAAGAAGAACAAATAAAAAAGAAGTTAGTTTGAAATAGACGTTCACATACGCTTTTGGATAGTCTATGCATACAAATAATAGTTTATAGTAACCGGTAGATATTATCAGCATATTTTACTAGTATTCACGAAAGCATATCAAAAAAAAATGAGCAGTTTCATCTAATATTGGATATTTATAACAGTATAATGAAACCAAGAAGAAACCATTAGAGACGTTAAGCTTGAAGTCTCATTAAATGTTTAAATTTATTGTTTTCCTCGAGGATGAAATTAGCTGAAGGCCGTTCGGAGTCCTAATGATCATGTCCAAAGTAAACTTTTCCTAATTTTATAACTTAGTAACCAAAAGAAATATTTCATAATAGTATTTACCTTTATCAGTGATAATAGTGTTATTCAAAATTATATTTGCCGTCTTTTTATTTATACAGTTATATTTCTATTCAAATATTGTAAACATACATAAAAAAATATGTTTATAGAATCGCTCTAGATTTTGAAAAAAAAAAATTGAAGTATTAGTTAAAATGATTCCTGCATCTAATAATCGAATTTTATTTATACTTGATTTATTACCTAAAGAAATAGTCTATACTATTTTTGAATTTCTTTGGGCTCATGATATTCTTTATTCATTTCTTCATATAAGTAATTATTTTAATAATATTCTATTAACCTATCAGAATTATCATATTAATTTCAAATCAATCTTAAAACGACAATTCGATTTAGTTTGTCATTTTATTCGACCGAATCAAATTACATCACTCATTTTATCTGATAATAATGAAACTCCAGGTCAATCAAAAACTTTTTTGTCATTCTTTCCTATCGAACAATTCATTAATCTTCGTGCAATTACACTATTTGATATTGAAAATGATAGTCATTCACTTTTCTTTAATATTCGTCAGTTAAAATATCTTAATTATTTTGAAACAGATACATTATCTCATCTTTGGATGATTGAAACAATACCTCAACTCAAACAACTCATAGTAAATAACTATGTTGACAATGATTATAATCATGAAAGTTTACTTAATTCTATTTCGTTCTCTCATTTATGTAAACTGACGTTACCGTATTGTTCATACGTTCAGTTACGTCGAATTCTTTGTTGTGCTCCTAAACTTACTTCACTTAATATTTCATTGATTATTTCTGATTGCACTGGTATTGATTATTTTGCTGAACAACATCAAGAAACACCTCTTATTATTAATCATTTGACAATGTCCATTAAGACATTTAGTAAGTTAAAAAATACTTGTCAAAGTTTTTTTTTTTATTAATAATAATAATAATCAAAATCGATTGTTTAGCTGCATTCAAACATGTTTTCATCTGCTTTTTGTTCAAAATCTTATTACTTATTAAAAAGATTTAAAAAAAAGCTGTTAGTGTAACTCATATCCGAGATAGAATCAGTTCATATTTTTTTTTTTGGAATCGAATCAATCCTATTTTTGATCCATGAGGAATTAAAATAGGAAGAACAATGTAGTTGTTTTTGTTAATCATGGAAAAAGGATTCTATTCTATCTAGTTTGATATATATATTTCTTCGCCATCCTTTTAATTAATCCTTGAGAAATGCAATCAGAAATTAATACATAAGTTATAAAGATATATTATTGATATACGGTCTGTAATCGTATGTCTATCTCTGACATGTTTTATGACGCAAGAGAGGAGAGAAAGTACTGCTAAAATGCCAATTAAAGTCAATTGAATTATTTTTCTTTTCTTTTACTGCTCGAACTATTTCACGGCTTCTATTCGAACGGTTTCTTTCACGTATGCCTCGTCTTCAACAGCTTGAACTCATCGTTTTATCTGGTGGAAGTAGTAACTTACTAGAAGGAAATCAATGGGAAATATTCATTAAAAAACATTTACCATTTCTTTCCATATTCAATTTCAAATTTCAAATAATAAATATTGATCGAAATAATTACAATGAAAAAACTATTCTCGCACAATTTAGTAGTTCATTTTGGCTTAATAGAAATCCAGCATGGTATGTGGCATATAACATTGATGATTTTATTATTTATACTATTCCTTGCTTTGTTCCATGTACAATTAAACATTCTTTATTATCAATTTTACCACATTCAACAACCCTTCCTGTCGAACAGTATTTTATTTATTATAATCAGATAAATGAACTAGAACTTGATTCAAATAATAAATCATCTTATCGATACACAAATGTTCAACGATTGATATTATCAATAACAACGATAGATGAAAATATAATCGATCTTTCTAAAGTCGAATATTTATGTGTGCAATCATTATCATGGTCATTGAAGAAACTCTTTCAAATCATTAAAACATCAATGACTAATTTATATCACTTAAAACTTGATTTTAATTTTTCTATGATACAACTTTCTGATATTGATCCACTAGAACAGATTCGTATATTGGATTTGCCACAGTTTTCATTTTCATTGAATAATAATAACATTGATTTATCTTCTGTTTTTCCGTGTGTGGAACGTTTAACAATTAAAATTCATAGTCTAAACCAAATGTCACATATAATTGATCAATTTATATATTTGTCTAATGGATCATTTCATATGATGGACGATCATAATGTTATAAGTCACATGTTAACTGAAACTGATACGATATACAAATGGCTTATAGAAAACACGAATCGTTTGGCAACAGACCGTAGCTTTACTTATCGATTAGATTCTCGATCTGATATTTGGGTGCATCTATGGATTACTAGTGAAAGTTCACCACCGAAAAAAGTATCTTATAATTATCTTGTTTGATATTTCAAATCATTTTTTTTCTTTTTCGAAGGTATTAAAAAAAACGTTACCAGGTGAACAGTTCATGGAACTTAAAGAACCTAATGGGCGATATGGTGATAGTTCACGATGTTGTTCATTGCAGTAGATACCATAGCATGAAATATAGTTAGAATTATCGTTTGGAAAACATTTATCTTTCGATATTTCGGTAGCTATGACATTAAATTACATTTGGCAACTCAGAATTTTTGATCCGTCTATGTTATTCAGTGATGCTAATTCGTTAAAATTATTAAAGAAAATGTCTTTTCCTCAAACTTTAGTACATACTAATCCTGTTATTTTAGTTTTGTTTCTCTTAATTTACCTCTATGATACAAAAATGTAACAGAAAGTTTGATAATATTATCTTTCATGAGTAATTCTTACAAGAATTTTAACTGATAAGTATCAGTAGAACTTTCTGCAAGAATTAATTATCATTCACTAATTTCCAATGTGTCAGAAAGTAAAATAAAATTTGAAAACCTATTTCGAATTCAGACTCCAGTGTGTTTGTCACTTTTTTCTGTAGAAGTGAATAATTATTACTTAGTTGATTTCGTTCATACCAGTGACGTATCCAGGATTTTTCAGTATGCTGAATCTCAATTTCCGGGCACGGGACCCAGATGAAACTCATGGAGGGTGATGTTGGATCCAAATAATGGAATTTTATCAAAAAAAATTTACACTCGGAGTTTGCGAAAAAAATTAGCATTTTCCTGATCCCCCCTCGAGGAGTTTTTGCTGTTAGTAGTATCATGGTTTTTAAAATTTTATAGGAAGCTACACCGAATTTCATCGATAGATTTCAAATTTCGTCTAAAAATATGCAACCGTTCAAGAGTTATGACGATTTAAAATTTTGCAAAAATTGTTTTCACATGTAGCAAAAACTCAAAAAGTTATAACTCTTGAACGGTTGCATATTTTTAAACGACATTTGAAATCTATCGATGAAATTCGGTGTAGCTTCCTATGAAATTCTAAAAACCATGATACTACTAATAGCAAAAAAATCCTCGAGGGGGGATCAGGAAAATGCTAATTTTTTTCGCAAACTCCGAATGTAAATTTTTTTTGATAAAATTCCATTATTTGGATCCAACATCACCCTCTATGAGTTTCATCTGGGTCCCGTGCTCGGAAATCGAGATTCAGCATACTGAAAAATCCTGGATACGTCACTGGTTCATACTAGTAGTACACATTATTTGGATCAAGATGGAAAGGTTTTGAGATTTAATTATGCTGAGTCTCGATCACAGATCTCTAAGACACTGTATTTTCGATCATCGGTTGATCTTTCAATGTACTCTTAAAATAATGGCTCATTGAGAAATCAGTTAAAAAAAAATAAATATGTACAACTGTCTATGGCTAACACGTTCAACGAAGTCGGCATGCGCGTGCAACTTTTAGAAAGCTACATATTCAAGTCTTTGTGAATTTGAATTCGGTCGGGTCCATATCTGGTTTTTATCTGTCAATATCAGTTCTTCTCTGTCTATATGAACAAGTGAAGGATCGAGATTTTAGCAATTTATTGACTACCTTCAGTTAATGTACAGCTATTGCTTGTTCTTTACTTCCTCATCACTCAATGCTTGATAAATGAAAAGTTTTCGCCTAATTGAAAAGAGCATTATGTTAACAAAAAAAAGTAATTTGAACAATTAATTGATAAACAAAATTCGTCAAACCAACGATAACATCAAAATCTTCGTCTGTATGAAATAGTTTTAATGGTATTTATGCAGGCGAGATCAAACCAGAATATGTTCTATGCAATCAATCTAGAGATCTGCAGATCCACATTTTTCTGAACTCAAATCTCTAGTAACTTTACAAACAAAACATAATGACAAACGATTGCTTAGCAAAAAGACTGACGATCTATTTTTGTGATTGAGTCTGAGATACTATTATTAACGCCATATTTTATTTTAGTATGCACTAGCTCACTTTCATGTTATCCATATAATTCGCAAGAAGGGTATAATTTATTCAAATTTTCCATTCTTCGAATATTAATTATTGCAATAATCACTATTATTTAAAAAAAAGCAACTAATTTAACTTTCACGATCATGGCAATGAAACTTTAACAATAGTAATTCAAAAATCTTATAAATATTATACATTGTATTTCATTTAAGGAACGCAAGTTATTCTTATCGTAAAGAAAAATTCGTCATGACTTTTTTTTTTAGCAAAAACTAACTGCATATTACTGCATAGAAAATCATTTTATATGACCAAATACAACATAAACGTTGAAAATAAAAATAAAAAAAAACATTCGAACATTAATCATTATTCGTCTTTTCAGAGTCTTTATCTTTTTTTGAACTAAATAAACGTTGAAATATTCCTTCTGATTGACGAGATATATACTGTTGAAGAATTTTATCTTTATTTGATTCATCAAATGGTTCTAATTGATCATTATCTTGAATTTCCATCCAACCATACATTTTGTGTTTATCATCAATATAATAAAGATCATTTTCAAATCTTAATGGTTCTCGACGAGCATAATCACCTGGCCAATAATTATATAAATTATTCTGTTCAGCAATATGAACATAACCGGACACAACATCAGTAATTACAGCAACATGTCCAAATGGCATCTTTCGACTACGAGCATAAATAAGTAATGAATCTTTTTTCGGTGGTTCTGATGAACCATTAGCAACTGGACGTAATGAAAATCGTTGACCATCAGTAACTCGTTCAATATGTGGTACATCATTCCAAATATTACAAGCACATGGAATATCTTGAAATGTACAACTTTTACGTATTAATAACCAACGACGAGCAAATTCCACACATTGCCATTGATAACCAGTATAGATGCCATGAACATAATGACTACCTGTATTAAATATACTACTATTTTTGTTTGAATAAGCTGGAACATTTGTTGATGCAATTCCTTCAATTTCATTGAATGGAACACGATTCTTTGTTGTACGTGCCATGGTATATCTGTTATAAAAATAAATCAATAAATAGTTTCAAGCAAAAAAAAAAAAAAATTAACAGAATTTTCTCAACATTAAAGCAATAAATTGTTTGTTTATTCGGCAAATCATGTTCTCATGTAGCATAATGTTTCATTTATCTATCTAAAGATACAATAATGACTTATCTCTTAGAATTCCTCATTTGAAAACATGGACTATTCATAAACACAATACAATCGAATATCTGTAAAACTATCTTAATTCGATTCATTTTAAGAGATAGTTCAAAACAAAAAAACACACTTATAATTTTTAAATATAATATCAAAAATTATATATTTTTATTTTCAATAACGATCACTTTCGATTTTATTTTTTCTATACGTACATGTCGTGACTTGATCAATAAGTGATTTCTATTGGCTTGTTTTTATTTAATCGTTTTATTCATTACTTCTTCTGTTTTATGGAGCTCTTATATTAGATAGTTAGAATACATTGCTTTAAAAGCACACAAAAGAAACGATGCCGAGAAAAAGGAACGTAACAGTGACAATGCAATTTTTATCATGTATGAGTCATTTTTTTTCTGTTTTGCATCACCATAGCGAATGAATTACAAGTTACATAGCAAAACTAAAATAATTGTGTTGAATATATGACATTGACTCATTTTTATCTTCAGTAATAGCTTCAAAAGTCTTGATTTAATTTTTTTTAATAATAATATTTTAAACAGATATAGGAAAATACGGTTTTTGGTTAAAGTTAATTACTTCTGGTGATTATTTTGTGCACTAAATTTAGATTTTTGTAACGATTCTATGACAATTTATCATATTAACTATATTATGCAAATAATATGCTGAAATTTAATTTCAAAACAAAAAAACAGGAAAGATTTTCGGATATTGAAGAAAATATAATAATTATTGTTTTCTTTTGATATAATTGATCTAATTCTTATTCAATAAAAAAAAGTATATCTTAAAAACTGTTAGCTCTTTATCGACTAAAACTTATTAACTACTTAACGTTCAATAGAACTTAACTTTTACGAATAAAAGATATTTTTATGCAGATTCTATACATGAAAAAACATTATCTTTTCAAGACCTTAAAGTCTATTGAAATAAACATTTTCATATGTAAAACTATAATGTAGAATCAATTATAGCACTTAATTAATGCTCGAGTATATATAGAATATCTATTATTTATGTATATAGATGCTAATTAAAATATAAATCATGATAAATATATGAATGAAGAGATATATTCACATTTCTTAGCTTTAATTTTTTCTTTGAAGAGGATAAAACAAATCTTGTTCATGATATTTTTCTAATTTTCAGCTGTTTGTCAAAGAGATACTCTATACTAATTATGATTAATGAAATTATATAACTGACGAACACGAAAAGATCAGTTTTTTTCGCAAGTGTTGTTTTTTTTGCTAATACTGAAGGATTCAAACTTCTCATCTATTGGCTTGAGTCGTCATATAATTTGTTTGTTTTTTCATCCATTCAGACATACACAAAAGAGGTCGCGCTGCTTTAATAGCAATTTATAAGAAAAAATATCACCCAAAAATTAATGTATATCTCTAGATATATTCTCAAACATTTATTCAATAATACTTTGAGAGACATGATATAAAACTTAAGAATACAAGTCCACTCGCATGTCTTATCAATTCATATTCGACTCGGCATAAAATATCACGTTAATCATGAAAATTCTGTTCTAATTAGTTCTACTTGATTCTTAATTTTTATCATAATTTTTGTCCTAAGTCACTCTTCGTAGTAGAATCGATTCAAATCCATATCTGAAATATTTTTAATATATCGAGTTTTGGTTCAGGTTAACAGATTAGCTGTCTTCTTACGAGATAAATAAAATAATAAAAAATTTATTACAGATATTTAGGATAGTAAGCATTGTGACAATCAGTTTATTTTCGTTTGTATTTAAAATGTTTATTCGAAATAATGATAAAACATCAACAAAAAATAGAATATCATGTTGAAATTTGATGTGCTTCAAAGAGAAAAAGTTTATGTGTACGTTATGAAACTGTTTTCCAGCATTGTTCATATCGATGTATATTTGATATTATGAATTAGAATCAACCGAAGATTTCTAAATACTCGAGAGATATTCTTTCTTCTTTATATTAACTCAATATAAAAGGAATAACTCATTTGAAAGAATTCAAGATTATTTATTTTATGTTAGATTTATGAAAGATTTCCTCTGCATAAAAGTAATTTTTTGGGTGTAGACATAAATGAAAGTTTTCAATGTATCTATACAAGTCCAAGACGCAAATTTCATGTATATTTGCTTTTAATCGAGTTTAAAGAAATGATCCTATTTAATAAATTTGTTCCGATTTGACATTTGGCACTATATGGACATATTTTGAATGTGAAACATAAATCAATTATCGCATTAAACATTATCAACAGTTATAAATAATTGTTAGAATGTTTAAGTAAGTTTTAAAATTCTTTATAGAAATAAAATTATTCAAAAGATTATTGTATATGTATGCCAACAATATGATAGGGTTCGAACAAAATACATTTTTTTTAATGAAAATGATTTTACATGATTAACTATAATAGCTTTTTCGTTTTCTGACTTAATTAAAATAAGACAATATTTGCCAAAAATACAAAAATATGCACACCAAATATTAGTCAACAACATAAAACACATAGAAAGAGAAATACAAAGAAAATATAGAATACATCTTGTCTGGATTTTATGTAAATAACAAATGATTTGATTCATTTTAGTACCTTTTTTTAAATGAAAAACAAACACAAAAACTCAAGCTGTCAATAAATCAACTGATGTGGGAATCTCTTTATGTGTCAGAAATGTTTTTCGATCGCAACGATCTTCATGTAATGAGTACTCGTGCGTAATAGAAAATTCTTGAATGATTTAGCTCTTTGAACCTTTATTCTTGAGATATCGAAATTTTATCGTCTTTTTCGTTCTCAGATTACATGAAAAATAGACTTTCAAGTTTCGGCTTCATACTTTACATGAAAAAAGTTTTCAATCGAACTAGTTCATCGAACAAGTTGTCACTTTTCTAGTATCTCATATTTTGAGATATTCAATATTGAAAATATTCTCAAGTGTAAAAGCAAGTTTTATTCATATATTCACATCTCCAGAAAGGAAATACTAGTTTTACAATCAATTAATCTCAAGAAGAAAATTTTTCGTGCAAAGTTTGAAGTTGAAACTCAAAAGTTAAATTTTAAATGAGCATAGTTTTGGTTGAAAAACTCAATAAAATTTCAATATCTCAAGAACGACGGCTTGGAAAATCAAACCATTGAAGACTTTTCTATCACTCACGAGTGCTCATTAAATGAATCTCGTCTTAATCAAAATTCCTTCGAGACTTAAAATCAAACTTTAAACAGCACATGATATATGTGACGAGTGCTCAAAAATTTGAAATATATACTTTTTGTTCGTTCTGTTCCGATTTCGAATCTCTTGGCAGCCATGGAATTTTTAAACCACTCGAAAATCTGTCTCCTATTGGATATTCATGTGTGACTTCTCAAGCACTTTTAAATACCTTGATATTCATCAATGTTACAAGTACTCGAGAAAAGAAACATATCAGAAGCATAATATTTAGTACTTCAGTAGAAGCAAGCCTAGCAGAATAATAGTTCCAAGTGGTAGGATAAATTTTGATTTCGTGAAACTTCGTCAAAAATTGTCTTACAAATCTCTCTTTCATTCGACTACCTTAGTTGGATGATTTATGTTCGATATGTATTTTCCTTACTTTCAACATTTCTAAAAACTATTTAACGTTAACTGATGAACAATGACAAGTAAAGCCAGAATTCTTAAGTTTTTTTTGACGAAAAACACAACCATAAAGAATTTTGCATTGCAAATTTTTGAAAAATCTTTTAACATTAATTTCATACTTTATCAAACAAATAAATTATTTATCAAAAATAAGCTCCTTATATGGCATCTGAAACATCAACAAAGCCTTTTCTGTAGTCAGAGACGCACAAATGATGTTTTTATTCGATTAAAAAAAAATTTTTCTTTTCATTTTTGAAAACTGTTAGCAAATCTTAAAAATTATAATTTTGAAAATACTAATCTTGTAAGAATTAAAAAGATAACTTTCACAGAAGAACATTAGTTCATCTTTACTTCATATATTCGACAAATATTAATCATAAGTACCTATGTCAGAGTTTTTTCCTCCACGTTCATGCGATAGATTTCGCCTATCTGAAAATGAGGCATCTATAGAAAAAAAAATCCTTTTTATACTGATCAAATTTTGATTCCCACGATAAACACCATTCGACTGATCGAAAACTCTACATTTTGTTGATCTATTACTGAAACTTCGACCTATCGAAAAGTGAGAATTCGAGTAGTCCCTTTGAAATCTCGGTTGGAAAAGTAGCATTTTTACGCAGTTCGATACATTTTTCTTGGCAATAGATGAACTTAATTGTCAACAAAATCTTATTAGCTTTGGATTACTATGCTATAATAAAGAATGTATCATGTAAAAAATAGTTTCATTGAAAATCGATTTAAGATCATCAAAAATTAGCAGCATAGAATACAAAATAAAAACCAAAAAGCTAAAAATCACATTGAGCTATATTCGTTTTTTAAAGAAGAACATAATTAAAAAAAAGAAATCCGATTTCTTCGGAACAATCTTCTCTCTTATATCTGATTGTTAGTATTTTGAAGGAGCAATCTACTGAATTTTCATTTGGTAATTTTAATACAGAAATACTTATCATTTAAATTATGTGCAAATCGGAATCAAACTTCAGTTACACTTTAACATTCGAAAATCGTCCTATTTATTATCTTGCAAATTCAAATTCTTGAATCTTAACATATTTTTCATTAAATCAATCGAGCAAAGCGGATATAACAGATTTAATCTATGAGGTCTTTTATTATTGTAAATTATAAGGCGGACAATTGTGTAATCGACACGTAATGATACAATTAGTTTTCGTTTCGTTTGAAAGCTATACCAGAGATTCAATCTTTCGTTTCTTTTTTTTTTTATGTAGTAAAAGTTTTCATCAAAAAAAAAGAAGATTTTTAGATATGACGAATTTATTTTGAAAATATTTTAGTCATTACATTAGCTTTTATTTGATGAATATTAGAGGAAAACATTTTTAATACATACTGTCAACGTCATCATATGGTCTGATTAGTATGACTAATAAGACTAAGACTTTTCTCTGTCCTTTTGCAAATATGTCAAAAATCTTAACCGTTGCTATTCCTTTTTTCAAATAGAAATTTTATCTTTGAGTTATAAAAAAATTTGAATTAAGATATTACTCATTGTAGGTTTTATGTCTAAGAGTAAATAATAAGTCATTTTTATTACTCAGAGCAACTGTTTTTCAGTTATAAGGTTTACATTCCGATAAAAAAAACGTACCTATATAAGAACAACTAAATCAATACCACTAGGTCAGAAAAACAACAATAAAATCACCAGGTCTTAATTACATTGTATTTATCCAATGTTTTGCACTTTATTAGTACTCTAAACTATGTGGAAATGTACGATTTTTCAAATTTATGTGGTGTGGTTTGTGATCGACAAATGTAATAGTATTTCAAGTCCGATCGCACCATTCACCAATTACACACATTCAATTGAACTTCAAACAAATATAGCTGATCTTTGGTGGACAACAGACGATGTTAAAAAAGAGATTACCTTCGAATTGCACATTCGAAGTACAGGATGGATTGCATTAGGAATTAGTCCAGGTAACATATTTTCAAAATTTCTTTAATCGATTGACTAATCGAATATTTAGCTGGTGGTATGAATGGAGCAGATATTGCTATAGGATGGGTTGATTCTTTGGGTAAAGTTACTATTCAAGTAGATAATATATTCCATGAATTATACATATATGTATACATGTAAAATTTTGTTTTAGGATCGATATGCATTCGGTAGATCGAAGCCAATGATTGACAACACAACTCAAGACTGGTTTGCTCTTCAAGGTCGTGAACAAAATGGATGGACAGCTATTCAATTCAAACGTTTATTTGATACATGTGATTATATGGATTATCCAATTAAGGTAAGAAATATGGATATTATCTGTTCTGTTAACTATTATCTATTTCGACAAAGAATGCTAGTGACTATTTTTTGAATAATTTTTAATAGGAACGATGAAGAGAACCGAGGTTAGTTCCTTAACAAGACTTTGAAAACGAAACTGTGAAATCGTTTCCCATTAAATTTCGACATGTAATATGGCCAATCGGTAGAGAACAATTTTCTCTTTCAATCTACAAAAATCCAAATTTTGTCACCGCCTCCTTTCAAGAGTTACAAAGATTTTCTTGAGATCGTTGTAGTTTAGAAAATGGACCTTGGAAGATTTCGAAATGGCTCCATTCACGAGTAATTCATCACGCTGAATCGAATGTTGATGTTCTGTCTCAGTTTCAAAGAGACTCAAGACGACTTTTTCAGTATTTTTGAAATTTCAAAAGCTTTCTCTGTACAGTATAAAATCCGAAGTTTGGGCGATGTTCAAAATAGTGCTCTCAGCTCACTTTGAAAATTGGGATGGTCAAATCAGAAAATCTCGAAAAAACTCTCCTAATCTTGAACGTAGGTGACTACATCGTTGGGATTTACGTAGATCGAAAGAGGAGGCTTTTTTCTCTCGATTGGTCATATTACATATCAAAATCTAGTAAGAAATGATTGTAGAATTTCGTTTCCAGTATATCTGATATGAATTTTTCTCATTGATCATATGTCGATCAACCAGATTTTTACGACTCCATAGTTTCGCTCTTGAACGGTGGAAAGCTTAGTTTTCTTTGTCATTCTTATCAAAAGTTATTCAAAAACCAATCTTTAGGAGTCTTTTTCCTCAAAAAGACTAGTTTCGTTTCTTCTTACATGTAGTGGGGAACGAATAATCTAATCTTTGCTTATGGTCTTATTGATCCTGATCCAAGCCGACCTGATGGTGATATTACATATCATGATACTCGACGAGGTTCTCGTACAATTCCACTTCACTCATACAGTGATCCACCATCAGAAGACAAATTCATCGGTCTAGATACATTTGAATGGCGCTTGAATAATGTAAATATTTTCATAAAATTGATCCTTGACATTTACAGTTAATATCTATTCATAGTACCTTGTTCCTTCAAATGACACAACTTATCATTGCAAAATATACAAAGTACCAAGTGGTTTTACAACAAAACGACATGCTATAGCAGTAAGTTTTTGTGGCATTGCTCCGTTACACTTTGTTTTTTGCTCTCTAATTATTAATAATAGCATAAAATTTTAATTGATGCATCTAATTTGGATCTTGTACATCATTTACTCTTCTATGAATGTGATTCTACTGCTGTCTTTGACGATACTAATTTGCCAGATGGCTTATGTGATGATCTTACAAATAAAACAGAACTATGTTCAGCGAATATTGCAACTGGTTGGGCTGTAGGTGGAGACTTTGTAAGTACAATAAAATCATTATATAAATAAAAATAACTAAAAATCGTATATTTAATTAGATTTTAGAATTTCCACAAGAAGCTGGATATCCTGTTGGTGGTGATTTTCCTATTAAATACTATATGATTGAAATGCATTTTAATAATCCACAATTAAATTCAGGTAGGATTCATATTTTATTTGCTTTCATATTTAATAAGATATTTTCTTTCAGATCGTCGAGATAGTTCTGGTATTCGTTTTTATCTTAGTAATCAACTTCGTCAACATGATCTTGGCTTTTTAACCTTTGGAGTATCATCAAATCTTATGGGTCTTGCTATTCCACCTCAAGTTGATCAATTTATTGTCGACTCATACTGTTCGTCTAATGCCACTCAAGTATAAAATATGATGCAAAAAAAAAAACTTTTTCTTTTCTTATTTTTATAATTCTTCAACTCTCCTTAGACTTTTCCAACATCAGGTATTACAGTAACATCTGCATTTCCACATACACATTTGCAAGGTATTATTGCTTTTTTGTATGATGAATGGAATACATTCATTAAATTTTGCTTTCATATAGGTAAAACTGTATGGACAAAATTGATTCGTAATGAAAAGGCTGTCCAGTATTTATTTAATGCTGATGCGTTCGATTCTAATTACCAATTTCATAATCGCCTACCGAAACCTATTAAACTCTATCCAGTAAAAAAACAATTTTCAAATCTATATCATACTATTCGATTTGTCATAATTCATCTATTTCATCTAGGGTGATGCATTTGCTACTCGATGTGTATATCAGACCATGGATAAGAACGACATTACATTAGTAAGAACAAAACAATACCATAAGAAACTTGATACTTATCAAAAATTTTCCTTTTAGGGTGGTCAAAGGACAAAAGATGAAATGTGTTTCAATATGTTTATGTATTATCCTCGAATGAACAATATGTATTTATGTGCAACAATTAATCATCCTTTAGCATGGCAAAAATTAATGAATGCATCGGCGTATGTATTAAATAATGTTAATTGTATTTTTTTAATGCGTTTTTTCATGTTCATTTCTTTAGGCCACCAAGTTACAGTGTACTAGGACAATGGTTACGTAATTTGAAATGGACACCTGAATTAGCTGTTCAATGGCAAGAATTCTATAACGATGCTACGCGTCTACTCTTGTATGGTCGATCAGGACAAATGCAGAGGCAAATACTTCAAGGTATTCCAACATATAAAGATTTCCAACCTGATATATGTCGAAAGTCGGCCGGATATCAACAAAAATTGGGCATTATCTTAATATTTGCTCCTTTTTTAATGACAATATTTTACCTACAATAATTGAAATGAATTTTATGAGCAATTTTATATTTCTTTTTTTTTTCGAAATTTCTTCATCATAATAACTCTTTTGAAAACGTTGAATTTTAATTAAAAAGAACTTCGCACATTGATGAGACGCATAAATATGTGTCAGTAATCTTTGAAAAATGATATTCTTTGTATCAACTAATTGAATCGCAAGTTAATTTCAATCCATTAGATGATCTAGTGACAAAGTAGAAGAAAAGTAGTTACCGACGTAAATACTGAATATGTAATTTATTATTTAATTCGATATTTAGGATCTATATTAGATAACCAATAAAACGAGGAACGATGATTTACAGAAAAATCAGCACTCTTAAAAGGATAATGATAGAAATAATAGATGTTACCCTTTTTAAATGATTTTAGTTGACATAGAAAAATCGTTGACTACCAAATGTTACAAGTATGTTTTGTTGACGTGCGTACTTGTTACTTAATGCAAATCAAATAAATTATATATCGATAGATAAATGGTGAAAAATACTTCGAAAATCTATATAACATTTATCAAAAAATGTGAATAGCAAAAGTTCTAGTTAAACTGCTTGTTAAATATCACAAAAACAAGGTGTCATCATCGAGTGCAAACTGTCTTATCTACTAAATTTGAATTTGCCTACTCTGAATTTTATAATAATCGAGAAAGCTTCGCCTCTAGGCTGTACGTCTATGTATAAGTTGTACTGAAGAAAATCTATGAACATGTTTGGAATGAAGAATATGTTTTTCAGACAAGCAAAAACGTTATATTTTTGGTGCTTATTCAGCGATTTTCACCGTAATAATAACTGTTTTGCTATCCAAACAGAGAGCATACTCGGAGTTAGTATAATAAATGGCATCGATCTATATATGTTGCAAACATTTTTGACGACATTTGTTTTGGATCGGAATTGAAGTCTCGGACCCCTACAAAGTTGCCTGAAAAAGTAATTTGAAAAATAAAATTGGTCAAAAAGGCTTGAAACAAACATTAATCGATGCTATTTTTTATTATTGATTCCGAATATATTATTTTTTTTAGTCAAAAATATCGTTATTACAACAAAGATTGTTGAATACAAGCTAAAAAGTGACTTTTTTGCCTATCTAAACAAAAATTTTTTCCCTTCAAGCATGTTCGTAGCTTTGCTTCAGTACAAACTAGGGATGCAACAAACCCGAGTACTTGGGATTTGGTATTAGGGATTTGGATTCGAAATAAGATTTGGATTTGGTCTTGGTCTGGATTTGGATTTGATACGTGGTGTTTGGATTTGGTTTGGATTTGTTATCCACTGCTTGGTTTTCGATTTGGATCTGATACTCAAGGTTTGGATTTGTTTTAGAATTAGGGCTCAACGACCCAAACCATTTGGATTTGGCCATACTATACAGGTACCCTTGGGTCCTCAAGCCCTACTATTAAGGGGTACCCTTAGGTCCTCAAGCCCTACCATTGGGGGGTACCCTTAGGTCCTCCAGTCCTACTATTGGGGGGTACCCTTAGGTCCTCAAGCCCTACTATTGGGGGGTACCCTTAGGTCCTCCAGTCCTACTATTGGGGGGTACTCTTAGGTCCTCAAGCCCTACTATAAGGGGGTACCCTTAGGTCCTCAAGCCCTACTATTGGGGGGTACCCTTAGGTCCTCAAGCCCTACCATTGGGGGGTACCCTTAGGTCCTCAAGCCCTACTATTGGGGGGTACCCTTAGGTCCTCCAGTCCTACTATTGGGGGGTACCCTTAGGTCCTCAAGCCCTACTATAAGGGGGTACCCTTAGGTCCTCAAGCCCTACTATTCGGGGATACCCTTCGGTCCTCCAGTCCTACTATTGGGAGATACCCTAGGTCCTCAAGCCCTACTATAAGGGGGTACCCTTAGGTCCTCCAGTCCTACTATTGGGGGACACCCTTAGGTCCTCAAGCCCTACTATAAGGGGTACCCTTAGGTCCTCCAGTTCTACTATTAGGGGGTACTCTTAGGCCCTCCAGTCCTACTGTTGGGGGTACCCTTAGATCCTCAAGCCCTACTATAAGGGGTACCCTTAGGTCCTCAAGCCCTACTACTAGGGGATACCCTTAGGTCCTCCAGTCCTACTATTGGGGGATACCCTTAGGTCCTCAAGCCCTACTATTGGGGGGTACCCTTAGGTCCTCAAGCCCTACTATTGGGGGGTACCCTTAGGTCCTCAACCCCTAGTATTCGGGGGTTCCCTTAGGTCCTCCAGTTCTACTATTGAGGGTACGCTTAGGTCCTCCAGTCCTACTATTTGGGGTACCCTTAGGTCCTCAACCCCTACTATTCGGGGGTTCCCTTAGATCCTCCAGTTCTACTATAAGGTGGTACTCTTAGGCCCTCCAGTCCTACTATTGGGGGTACGCTTAGGTCCTCAAGCCCTACTATTGGGAGTACCCTTGACTCCTCCAGTACTACTATTGGGGGATACCCTTAGGTGCTCCAGTCCTACTATTGGGGGGTACCCTTAGGTCCTCCAGTCCTACTATTCGGGGATACCCTTAGGTCCTCAAGCCCTACTATTCGGGGGTACCCTTAAGTCCTCCAGTCCTACTATTGGGGGATACCCTTAGGTCCTCAAGCCCTACTAGTAGGGGGTACCCTTAGGTCCTCCCGTTCTACTATTAGGGGGTACTCTTTGGCCCTCCAGTCCTACTATTGAGGGTACGCTTAGGTCCTCCAGTCCTAGTATTGGGGGTACCCTTAGGTCGTCAACCCGTACTATTACGGGGTACCCTTAGATCCTCCGGTTCTACTATTAGGGGGTAGTCTTAGGCCCTCCAGTCCTACTATTGGGGATACGCTTAGGTCCTCAAGCCCTACTATTGGGAGTACCCTTGACTCCTCCAGTACTACTATTGGGAAGTACCCTTAGGTCTTCAAGCCCTGCTATTAGGAGGTACTGTTAGGTGCTCAAGCCCTACTTTTCGGGGGTGGGAGGGGGGCGGGTACCCTTAGGTCCTCCAGTCCTACTATTGGGGGGGTACCCTTGGGTCCTCAAGCCCTACTATTAGGGGTACCCTTAGGTCCTCGGGTGACTTACGTTTCGTCTCACTTCTTACGAACACCGGGAAATGTTACCGAGTGTTCGGAGATGATTTTTTTCGTAGAAATTTATGACGGTAGTTCGTAAACACCTATGTACCGGAGGTCGTAAGAGACAGCAGGAAGATCGTAATGTGTTTACCGGGTGTTCGAAATAGAGTATTTTATGCTGTATTTTATGTAATACCTGAAGATCGGAATGAGCACGGTCGGATGTTCGGAAAGTAATTTTCAGAGGACTTTAACATGGAGTTCGGAAAAGAATTTATCAGAAAATTGTAAGTGATATAAGGAGTTTCTGTTTTTATAGACAATAATAAATCGCATTTTTGATTACTTTCATAATTATATGAGTAGGAGATTATTCTTTCTTTACCTATACTCTCTATGCTCCAGTTTTAGAATTTGTTTCTAATATTCGTCTTTTAATCGATTCATGATACCAAGTTGTGTCAACAGTTCAGGTGAAAATAAAATATACTATAAAGTAAAAAAGGACAGTGTCTACTTTCAAATATGATTGGCTACACAAGTAAATGGCCAGTAAAGATAAATCAGACTGACCCTGCATAGAGAAGTGAAAAGTATACATTTGGAAAATATACTATGATAAAGAAGTGGGTTGGTTTTCTTTTATTGCTTATTTCTAGAAAATGATTCAAATGAATAGAATCTTTTTTCTTGTTGCAGTCTAACTTTACTTCGTCGTCCTCTTCCACATCGTCTTCTCAACAATGTCACACTGCTACAACATCGAAGAATAAACAAATAGCTAGAGTCAAGAAGCGTAGACATCCATCAAAGCATGAATGGAGCGATGATGTACATTAACACTAGAGTTATGAATAAACATGTATATCTTTTCTTTCAATAAAACTGACATTTGTAATAGAGTGTATTGAAGGAATTAGGAGAATAGTAACTATCACTAGAATTATAATAGTGAACAGAAGCACAACCTTGATTGCTTGAATTCATCGAAGCGTTCTCTATACATGATTTTAGGTTGCGAGACTAGCATATCACTTCATATTCTCTCACACGTGAACAAAACTAAACATACTTACGACAATTGTGTCGTTTTTTTTATTACGACCCTCATGTCTTCGTCATTACGACCATCCGGACACTCGGATTCCGATCTTCAGCCAAATTTTGATGGTCGTAAAGAGAAAAATTTATATGGAGTTCAGAATCAATTCTGAAAATAGCTTTTTCAATGGTTATAATCGTTGAAAAAGCTATTGTAAAAATTGATTCTGAACTCCTGCACAGGCTTCATTCCGAACACCCTGTATTTCTGTTGTATTTCATTTACGAACTCCATTCCGAACACCATGACATTTTCTTCAAGTTCGGCGATCGTAAGCACACTAATTCACCAGGAGGTCGTAAAAATGGGGTGAGACGAGATGTCATTTTCCCAGGTCCTCCACTCCTACAATTGGGGTACCCTTAGGCGTTCAAACCCTACTAGTAGAGGGTACCGTTGAGTCCTCCAGCACTACTATTGCGTGGTACCCGTAGGTCCTCTAGTCCTACTATTGGCGGGTATCCCAATCCTAGGACTTGAGGACCCCAGGGTACCTCCCAATACTAGGGCTTCAGGCACTAAGGGTACCCCCAATAGTAGGACTTGCAGACCCAAGTGTACCCCCCTATAGTAGGACTTGAGGACCCAAGGGTCCGTCTCAATTGTAGTACTGGAGGCCTGAAGAGTACCCCCTAATAGTAGGCCTTGAGGACCTAAGGGTCCCATGAACAGTAGGACTGGAGGATCAAAGGGTACCCCCTAATAGTAGGGCTTGAGGACCTAAAGGTACCCCCAATAGTAGGACTGGAGGACCTAAGGGTCCCCAATAGTAGGACTGGAGAACCTAAGTGTATCCCCTAATAGTAGGGTTTGACGACATAAGGGTACCCCTAATA